AGTTGTACCACCCAATTTATTTCATAAATATATAGACGAAATTATTGTACGAATTGTAGCCCTAAAATTTTAATTATATAGCAGGGTATTGGTTTTGGGAAGCCAAATGCCATAAGTTGGATTATTCAAGGGTCAAAGTATAAATTTGAGATTTATTTTGTAAATATTTTATGAAAGTAGGGGCTAAAGAGTTAATTATGGACTTTATTTGAAAATAATTGTAGAGGAGGGGCTGCATGGTAATTATGAGGACTTAAGTTGAAGGGTTTTGGTTGGTTGGGGTTAAAAAGATAAAATTCGGACTTCATTTGTAACGGATTTCAAGGGGTAGGGTTTAAGTGGTAAATTGTAGACTTATTTTGGAAAAATTATGGATGGGAGGGGCTAGAAGTGTCAAAACTATATGTAAGTTGTATGAGATACGGGTTAGAACCCGTCACCCTACTTCGCAGCCTCCATATATATACATCAAGTTTTCCTAACCCTAACCCTAATAACAAATCAGCCACCACCATATCATCTCCACCCTCCCATCCGTTACCTCCGTTCTCATCTAGCCACTCCGATCAATCGAGGCCATCGGCAGACCATGTTGCCGGCGAAAGACTTCTCCCGCGCCACTCTTTCATTCCGATGACAAGCATGGATGTAGCTGCCATTTCTGCTCTAACCACCTTCCCCTCCTGTTACCTCTCTGCAGCTAGTGACCGGCGTTCGCCGCTACTATCTAGAGGCTTCTCAACACTGTTGACGTTTTCATCCGCCTCATTCCACCATGAAATGGTGGCTGGGTTGTGGTTTGTGATATAGTTGCGTGGGTGTGTGTGTGGCTTCTGGCGACAGGAGATCATGAAGAACCATCATGGATGTTGACTATTGGGTTATTAATGGGTCATCCAAGATCAAGCAAATGAACTAGAATAATTAATGGGCTTTGATGTCAGGCCCATATGAGGAGTTGGGCCCAATTTGGAAAATTGGGCCATAACTGGGCCATTGTTTTGGCCTTAATGATTGTATGACATTAGACCATTAGAAGGTCTAATGTTGGATTGGACTTTTGGTTGGGCCATATGGTAAGACCTTATAAAGGTTTGGGGCCCAATTTGGAAAATTGGGCCATGTGTTGGGCTTTGATTCTTAGTTGACTTTATGCCTATGGGTTGGGCTTTGGGCTTGAATAAGCCAAGCTTGGGGTAATGTAGTAATTGTCCAAGTATGTATTATGGTTATGTAGTGGAACCCAAATATTAATTGCATGTTATTTTGGTATTGACAGTTCGGGAATCTATCATCGAACAGCTGGGGTTGAGTTTGCGAGACTTCAACAGTGTGAGATTGTGTCTACGGGACTTCAGTAGTGTGAGGTGAGTTACCTTCCAGTAGGGGTGGGTCTAACACCACAATGTCGGCCCACCAACAGGGGTAGTTAGTAGATAATTTTCTTTGTGATAATTATCTTGGGTATGCTCATGTGATATGCTTATGAGATATACTTATGTGACATGCTTATGTGATATGATATGTGTGTTTGTGGTAGTAGCAAGGAATAGTTTTTCCTTAGCTCGGTTGTTAGAACCAAAGGGTAAGTTAGTACCCCAGATATGCCTAACTATATAACTATATCCTGTTATTGTATGATCATGGTAGGGGTGAAATAGTCCCCGGTTACTGGTTGAAAGATACCGATTGCGGATATCGGTTGAAAGATACCGATGGCGGATACCGGTTGAAAGATACCGATGGTAGTTACTGGTTGAAAGATACCGAAGCGGTATACAGAACCCATGCAATGCTTATCTATCTGTTTGTGATATGTTAGTATGTAATCAGGATGTTTATGATGTTAGTATGTGATCAATATGTTTATGATATATTATTATGTGATAGTGGTAGTGTGAAATAGTCCCTGGATACCGGTTGAAAGATACCGATGACAGTTACCGGTTGAAAGATACTGATGGTATTATGTGGTATGCGGTATGATGGGAGAACTCACTAAGCTTAGTGCTTACGGTTTACAGTTTTGGTTTCAGGTCCATTGTTTTCGAAGTAAAGGAGTCGGCTTGATCGCATCGCATCACACTATGATTTCCGGACATGAGATCCTTGGGATTACACTCTTATATGGTTTTATGATATTATGTTTTATTATTAACACTTTGGTTTTGACATGAGACATTATTATTGACGATTTTATTACATATGGTTTTATATTAACTTATCTAAAAATGAAATTTTTGGTCTAGAATTTTGGGACGTTACAAGTTGGTATGAGAGTCTTGGTTTGAGGGATTTGGGGCACACTCACAGGTGTGTCTGAACTCAAACTGAGGGATTGGCATGAAATTTTTTATAAGAAAATCATTTTTATAAAAAGAATTTGAAAAGTATTTGGAAGGAGACAAGAACTTTGAGGAGAACAAGCTGTGTGATGCATGCAATCAGCCGAGCTCAAGTAAGTTTTCCCCAAGATACCCCCATACATGTTATGTTATGATATGATATGATGACGAGAGCTGCATGCTAGATTAGGGCTAAGGATCTAAGAAGATGCCTTATATACCTGTTGTATGTGCTTGTTGAGCTGCATGATAGTGATGATCAGTTAGTTATAGGATAGCCTGTTTAGGTTATGCCGTACTGTGTGAGCTTTAGAATCGTATGCTAGTATAGATCGTTGGCAAGAGGATAGAATGATCTGATTGGAATATGTTTGGTTAGATTTTCCATTGTCTGAATGCTGCTTGCTTTGTTCTTTAAGGGACTATAAGTAATATGAGCTAGTTACTAAGTGAATATGCTAAGTCGCGAGTAGCTATATTCATGAGGTAGCTAGTTGACATTAGTGGGAAGTCCTTTAGCAGCTGAGGACTGGGTGAGTGCGGGAATCTAGGAAACCTAAGAAGTGCTTTAGTGGTTTTGGTTGTGTTGTTAGCCAACATTCAGGGTACCAGTTGAGGAAGTGACTTGGAGGATCCGAGAGGATTGCTGAGGAAAGTATGGATAGGTGTGGAAGGTAGTATTGGGCCCATACTACTGAAAGAAATAGATCCATACTCGAATCAGTGAGAGTATTGGAGAATCTGAGAAGCTTCAAGGAAGAGTTGGTGACTGGGTTTAGGGATAGAGGATGTTCCTGTGTTGCAGCTTGGCCATTGGCAAGTCAGCTAGCGAGCGTGATAGGGTGTCAGACCCTGTAGGATATGACTTCACAGAGTTTATAGATATGATATCGATTCGGAGCACTTGGATAAGAGAGGTTCGTGCCAGGTGTGTATGGTAGAAGGTCCCGAGGAAAGATCCATGGCCTCCGATCATCGGGTGAAAGGCCAGCAGTGCTGGAGTCAGTGCAACACGTACGAGAAAGTACACAAGGGAGTTTGTCACTCTAGGGGTTTAGGCTGCTACAGTAGTGGCAGGGTTGACCATGTCAGTCAGAGTGAAGATTAGAGCCTCTAGTTTTCAGCATGGGAGGTGGATTGAGGTGTCAGACTGGACCAAATTTTAAGAGTACTCATCATGACTTACGAGTATAGGCGATCTTAAGGTTTAATCGGTGATTAATTGTTAGAATTGGTAAGCACAAGTTATCAGCAGTGGGATACTAGAAAGCGAGAAGGATTAGGAATCCTTCAGTTCTTGTGTGCCATGAAGACTTAGTTGAATATAAGTGGGAAAGTTACTTTTATAAAGTTCTCCAAATGTGAGTTCTGGTTGCACGGGGTGCAATCGCTTGGGCACCTTGTCACCTAGAAGGGTATACTAGTCTATCTGGCCAAGATAGAGGCCGTGATGCAGTGGGAGATTCCGAGTTCTCCATTTGAGATTTGGAGTTTCTTGGGTATAGAAGGTTATTACAGGAGATTTATGCGGGAGTTCTCCGAGATTGCAGTTCCTTTGCCCCGACTGACCATGAAGTCGGTGACCTTTTTGCTGGGGGCCTGAGCAGCAGGCAACCTTCGTGACTCTCAAACAATGGTTGTGCGAGGGCCAACCCTTGTAGGAGCCCGATCTCTCTTCTTTCAGTTTTTCGAGAGCCACAAGTATCATATCGCACAATTCTTTATTCTCCAGATGTAACTTTGGAACAACTTCTAACTTGATTGAACTTTGATTTATACTTCGTTTTGAGGTTGATTTCTTTAATCTTTTTTTTTAATTGAGCGCTTGAACTTCTTGATTTGGAGACTAGATATAACATTGTACCCTTTCTTCTTTCTTGACTGTGTGGATCTGATACTTAAGCTCTCTGTTAGTGCGAGGGGTAACATGTGTCAACAAATAGGGCCATGTTCTGTCGGTTCAGAGTTTCCGACAAAGATTCTTTTAAAACATTCAGAAGCAAATCATCCTAAAACTGTTATTACCACCTAAAAAATGTTTCAGTACATCAATTTTTTTATTATCTAAGTCCGGGGTCTCGAATCACGGTGTCTTGGGTCCCCTAGTTGTGATAGCTAATTCTACACATCCAATAACAATCAAGTCGCTTAAGATTTTTTTCACTTTTAATTCTCAATATCCTACTTCATGGAGCTATCGTACGTAAAGAGTATCATCATCCCGTATGTATGTGTATATATATATATATATATATATATATATATATATATATATATATATATATATATATATATATATATATATATATATATATTATGCAAATGCAAAATGCAACAAAATGAATATATTTTAGAAAAAAACTAGGAAGAAATAAAATGACAAATAAAAAAAAATGATTTTTTTAAATAAAAATGACAAAATAAAAAGTTTTTACAAAAAGTATAGTAAATCCCCTCCCTAAGGTTAAAATTAAGCATTGTTCTCAATGCTTAGGGAGGATTGGAAGGCGACTACTCGGATAGGGGTGTAAAGCGACGAAAGAAATCGTCGCGGAAATCGGTAAAATGGCCGCGCAAACCTAAGAGCTCATCACGATAGCTGGTAACCTGAGAGCTAAATAGCGGATAATTGAAGCGGAGACCAGTCATAGTCTGCTAAAGAGAAGCAATATCCTGATGGAGGTCAAGATAATGCCGGTAAGTGAAGGGGGAGTTGGGGTCAGGATGAGGTGGTTGGGTATACTGGGGTTCGTCCGGAAAGTCAGTTTGCATGGGATCAGGCTGGATATATGAGAGTGGTGTGGCGTCAGTGTAATCGGGGTGAAGAGTAGACAAAGAAGGTCCGCCATAATGCAAATGTGAGGCCTGCTGTAACCTACGTGGGTGTAGTGGTGGTGGAAGGTTTAACGGAAGAACCCACACCATCTCACTAATGGGGTCAGCGAGGGCGATGTCATCAGGACCGGTGACCTTGAAGTAAATGGATCAGCCCTACATCGAAACATACCCACTCGAGGCGGAGCATAACATGTGTGATGTCATCAGTGCGATGTCATCAAGACTAGTGACCTTGAAGTAAATGGATCAGCCCTGGATCCAAACATACCCACTCGGGGGAAAACATAACATGTGCGTGGCCTGAAGGTTCTGCAGGGTCAAACGGAAGGATTCGCCCGTAAAAAGGTGTATCTCGGGGAGACTGCTTTACGAGGGTGCGAGCAATGACGGTGAGACCACCACAAGTAATGGAACCACCGGTACGAAGGTTTACGACTCTGTGGAATCTTTTAATGATTAAATCACCAAATTGAGGGTGGTACAATCCAGCGACCATGCTCCAGAAGATAAAAAGCTCGGCTTTGCCGACTTTTGTTGTCTCAATCTACGCATAAATAATATTGAAAATAATTTTTAAGGCATTTTTTAGGACTGGGTGGACGATGCTGGTCAGAATGGATTGTGATGAATCGTAAAAGTCCAATCCGGTAATGGATTGCGAAAAATCGCGCACATCGAAAGTAGGAGTAGACTGAGATTTGTTGGTGGTGGGGTTATGAAAGAAGGTACATAACTGGTCTATGTGAATAGAATGAGAGGTGATAAAAATGCGAAAACAAAGTTTCCCTCATGGTTGACCTCGCTAAGTGTAGCTAGGAACTCTCAGGTCAATAAAGGACAAGTACCAAAATCTGCACCTAAAAGACGCTCCCAACCAATGTTGGCGAATAGTGCACGAACACCATCATAAATATGGAGTTTCCACATCAATGTGCGGCTGGGGGACCAGACATGCGGTAGAATTTCTCATTCCTAAAGCAATTGAAAATAGGCTACTGCAGCCTGGGAGCCTAAATCTAAGCTAACATTGTCCACTTGGATAGTGTACATGAGGTCTGAGATGTCAACATTTCGGTGTGAACAGAACGGTCTAGGATGCATTTTCAAGTCAAAAGTGGGACATAGTAGGCACAATTTCTAGATAGACAATAATCAAGAAAAAATATAAATATTTCTAACTACTCCCAAAGCGGATGCGCAAGCCCACTTAAATATATAAAAAACAAAAATTCAGTTTCAAAACGAATATACCTGACATCGTGCTGAGCAACAGTGTATTTTTCACGTCTGACATTTTTTTGATTTTTGAAATTCCGTCCGGATCAACCTCTTCTGAATTACTTCGTGAGAAAACGATTCAACTTTTTGTGGCCTGCGGATCGTTAATGGAGCGTAGATTTGAAAAAGAAACTCACAAAGATTCAAATTTCAAATGAACAAAATGAGATTTTTGGAGAATTTCAACCTGAAAACATGATTTCGTTACTGTAAATATGTTGTAGGAGTAAAACCGAATAGATTGATACCTTATTTGCTTGATTTTGATGAAAAATGAGCGATTTAACTAATTGTTGATGAAAGAACTCGAAAACTAGTTGAATCCAGAGAGAATTTCTGAAATGTGGTGGTTACAAATGGGGTTTGCGATCAATATTTATAGCAAAAACCTTGCGACCGCAAAGGGAGGATCTGCGATCGCAGGTTTTTTCAAAATGTCCGTTTGACATTTGATTCGAGGCAAGATAACGGTAAAATGAAAATTATTGATACATATGATCACATGATTATAACCTACGATCGCTGGTTGTTGAAAAAATTGTTCAATCAATCATTTAACGCTCAAAGGTGTGGCAGGTGTAATAAAATCAATACATGCAATTGCAGGTATAAAAGCTGCGATTCCAGGTTGTGCTAAGCTTCCCGCTTTCGTTCTTTTAAGGGTCGAGGGTATAATTGAGGTAAAAATTTGATACATGCGATCGCATAGGGTATACCTGCGATTGCATTGATCTATTTTTTTTTTTCAAAAATCGTAGCAAAAATACCTCGATGAGCTTCTGCGACCAAAAAAATATACCCTGCGATCGCATAGACTGGACTTGAGATCGTAGGTTCCACCAAAACTGTATTTTTCAACTTTTTTCAAATTCTCTATGTTCCTTCTTATTTTAAAAACACGATTCAGTTAAAAAGGGATGACCTAAGTAGCTAAAAACACACAAAAATTGAAAAGCAGTTGCAAAAAACGAAACTAAAACAAACGGCCGGGTTGCCTCCCGGTAAGCTGCCCGCTTTTACTATCGTTGGCTCAACATTGTTACTTGGTTTCTTCAATTATGGTAAGTTGGGACCTCGACTACCTCCACTTCTCCATTTTTAACTTGAAACCCTTCGTAATATGGTTTGAGACAATGACCATTTACCTTAAAAATCTTTCCTGTTTTGTCACTCTTAATTTCTATAGCACCATGATCAAACACGTTAGTAACAACAAAAGGTCCCACCCAATGAGACCTCAATTTACCAGAAATAAGTTTGAAACGAGAGTGATATAATAGTACCTTTTGACCAGTAGTGAATATCTTTTGCGAGATCATCATGTCATGAATCGCTTTTATCTTCTCCTTATAGATTGCTTTGTTCTCGTAAGCATCATTTCAGATTTCTTCTAACTCCTAAATATCCGATCTTCTTTTTTTTACCAGCTTCATCCATAATCATGTTCACTTTTTGACAACCCAATATGCCCGAAGCTTCAATGCAACTGTTAATCAACAAGGTTTACCAAAAACAATTCAATATGGTGACATACTGATAGAAGTTTTGTATGCTGTTCGGTGAGCTCATAACGCATCATCCAATCGAATACTCCAATATTTCTTGACCGGATTGATGGTTTTCTCTATAATGCCCATAATCTGTCTGTTTGAAGCTTCAACTTTCCCATTGGTTTGTGGGTGATATGTTGTGGATACCCTATGTGTGACACCATATTTCTTAAGGACTGCTTCGAGGATGTGGTTATAAAAATGTGTCCCCCGATCACTAATAATGGCTTTTGGTGTGTCAAACCTAGCAAATATATTTTCCTTGACATAATCAACTACAACCTTGTCATCTTCTGTTCGTGTAGCTTTTGCCTTGACCCATTTGGATACGTAATCCACATCAAGTAATATATACACAAAACCAAAAGATGGTAGAAACGGACCCATGAAATCTATACCCCAAACGTCAAAGATTTCACATATTAAAATTGGACTAAGCGGCATCTTATTACGAGATGTCAAAGACCCAGTCATTTGCAACCTTTCACAAGTTTTGAAAAATAAAAAAGAGTCATGAAAAATATGAGGCCAATAAAGACTGTTCTCCAAGACCTTGCGTGCGGTTTGTTGTGGACCATAATTCACTCCAGAAGCTTTTGAATGGTAGAAATTCAGAATTGACCTGACTTCATCTTGAGGCACACATCTTCTAATCACTTGATAATCATAGTGCTTCCATAAATATGGCTCGTCCCATACATATCTTTTCACGTCCTTCTTTATTTTATCTTTCTGGGCACGGGTGAGATCTGAAGGGAGTTCTTTGGAAACCAAGTAGTTTACTGTATCAACAAACCAAGGAGGGCTCTAAATAGAAAATAGTTGCTTAGCAGGAAATGTTTCGTGGATCGATGTCGGGACTTCCAGTGGAGTGAGTCGGCTCAAATGATCAATTATCAACATTTCTTTCCCGCTTTTGACGCTTATCTCTATATGAAATTCCTGTAGCAGCAAAATCCATCTAGTCAACCTTGGCCTTGAGTCTTTTTCAGCAAGAAGGTGCGGAATAGTTGTGTGATCTGAAAAGATTATAACTTTCATGCCCAAAAAATATTGTCTGAATTTTTGAAATGCAAAAACAATTGACAAGAACACTTTTTCTTTCGTGGAGTAATTTGCTTGGGCGTTGTCCGAAGTTTTTGAAGCATAATATATAACGTGGGGAATCTGGTCTTTTCTCTGTCCTAGAATAACTCCAACAACAGTGTTACTGGTGTCGCACATTATCTCGAATGGTAAACTCCAATCTGGGACTGAATGATGGGGGCAGAAGTAAGAAGAATTTTCAGCACATCAAAAGCCTTCCTGCAATCTTCATAGAAGTCAAATTCAACATCTTTTTGCAGTAAGTGGCACATGGGAACTGATATCTTTGAAAAATCTTTTATAAACCTCTTGTAAAACCTTGCATGACCAAGAAAGGAACGTACTTCCCGAACATTCATCGGGTAGGGTAAGCTTTTTATAACATCTATATTTGCTTTATTGACTTCCAAACCTCTTTTTGAAACAATATCTCTAAGAATCAGACCTTGGTCAACGATAAAGTGACATTTTTCAAAATTTAAGACTAGGTCTGTTTCAATACACCTTTGTAAATTTTTTGTGAGGTTTTTCAAACAAACATCAAAGGAGTCTCCATAGACGGTAAAATCATCCATGAAGACTTCTATGGTATTTTCGACATACTCAAAAAAGATACTAACCATACACCTTTGAAAGGAAGCGGGTGCGTTACTGAGTCCGAAGGGCATACGTCTATACACGAATGTCCCGAAAGGCCAGGTGAAAGTTGATTTTTCCTGGTTTTCTGGAGCAACTGGAATCTGATGGAAACCTGGAAATGCATCCAACCAGCAGTAGTGGGATTTTCCATCAACCCTTCCTAGCATCTCATATATAAATGATCTTTCCGAGTGGCTGCGTTTAATTTTATGTAGTGAATACAAAAGTGCCATCCATTTTGAACCTGAGTTGGAACCAGCTCTCCTTCTTTGTTCTCCACCACTGTCACTCCAACCTTCTTGGGTATAACTTGGACTGGGCTTACCCACTTGTTGTCAGAAATTGGGTATATCATCCCAACATCCAATAACTTCATAATTTCTTTTTCAACCACCTCCATCATTGTTGAGTTCAATATGCATTGGGCTTCCCGCGATGACTTATAATCTTTTTCCATCAAAATTTTATGGATGAAGAGAGATGGACTGAGTCCTTTAATGTCTGCAATAGTCCACCCAATGTGCTTTTATACTCCTTCAAAATTCTGATCAGCTCTAACATTTTTTTTCTGACAACATGTTGGATATGATAACTGGTAATGTTTCTTTTTCTCCAAGATATGCATATTTCAGGTGTTCTGGAAGTATCTTCAGCTCAAAGATGGGAGCATGCACTATAGAAGGAAAAAGCTTGGAGTAAAAAACTGGTAATTTAAGAATTTGGATACCATACCTCAACTTTCTCTGCTGGTCCATATGAGCTACCATCTCTTGAACTTCTCTATCAACCACATAATTTTCCGATATAACCTAAGCTGCATTAATAGACAAATTTATGTGGAGCATTAATGCTAGTGACTCACGGTTAGCAATATCAAAATATTCTGCAGTTAGTGGTTCAATAACATCAATAAAATTGAGGGCTGAAACATCATCAGGATAAT